AAAAATAAACTTGAAGATTTCGTTAATAAGACCATTAAAGCACATAGCCACATGTTCCTGACTATAAAGAATCTCTTATTTATAGCCAATCCTTCATATACACCACTCATAATTCATATTAAGCCAAAGTCTTTCAGTTTGCAGGTATGACAGTATGAGATGTTGGTCTTCCTAAGCTTCCAAAAATAATGAAGCAGTCTTATTATCACAAGACGGCTAAAAAAATCCATTTGGTATAACTAAATGAGAAAATTGGAAATCAAATATGGGATGACTAGAATATATATATATATATATATATATATATATGAAAAAAAAAAAAAAAAAAAAACTATGCTATAGGGAATGGTTAAAACTTTAAAGCTTGAAGTATCTGGCAAAGGTACATCTCCATGTACCACATTTCCCAATTATACAAAAAACAAAACCATATTACTTAGTCACAGTTGAAGTATCAACATCATAGACTCATAGAGCATGGGTTTGAAACTGTTTAATTCACAAAATCAAATAGCCAAGTAATAAGCCACTAAAGGGTCTCACCTATCTCAATTCTCTAAACGAACTTGCATTTAGAGTTCACGCACCATATGTCTATACTACTACCTTGGTCCCTCCAATTATCTTCCACTCAACCATTTTGGCTCATCTCATTTTATTATTATATATCAATAGAAGGATAAACTCCTCCCCAGTCCCCAACACATGTAAACTTGGGCTCCACTTTCACTTTTCTTTCCCTCAATTAGATCAACCGTTTCTCGGGAATTACTACACAATCTCTTACTACTATTTCTTTCTCCATCTAATTCCAACATTTTTCAATCATGTCTAAGTAGTTTCTAATGGCCTACCCTCGACTAGATTTCATAAAACATGTGCCAAATCTTAAGTGGACAATATGAAATGCAAGGAGTACTTTGCCCCACCCCTGTCTAATGAGTTGGCCAGTAGGTCTCTTCTAGAATATAAATACAATAAAATAGATGAACTTTAATGACAAATCAAAACTCTCATGATAATCATCCTCATAGCAACAAGAAAAACCATCAATACAAATTATGAGGTACATATACACATGCATCTTGGAATAATATTTTATATTCTTTGACGTGTCATTCTTGGTTACGGTTAACATCAAGGATAAGATAGTTCAACGTATAACTTAGTACATTTAGAAAGTGGGGCAATGACCTAAAATTTCAAACCATATTAGAAAAAGGAAAAATGTATAGTTTAAAGGAGTGAGCATCATCATGGATCTATCCTTTTTAAATTTCAGTCCCCACGAAAAATCAACAATAATAGATGAAGAATAGCTAGGTGACCACCAAACAAATATACTTGCTATAAATAATGCAAAATTGCATAAATAATTAACTATCTCCCCTACCTTTCAAAGCAAGGATTCGAGTATTCGGATTCATGAGAGCAGAATCCGCGGTGATAGGCCTTCTTAAAGGTTGCATCGGCATGCTCATATCAACAATGACAACACTATTTTGCGGAGAGGTTTCCCGCACACATATATACTTCTCTGATTCCATGGTCACATTGTTAAATGTGATGAATTGTTGATTAATTCCAATGCTAGGCAACTGCATCGACGAAACAACATGATTACCACTTCGATCAATCCTCTCATTTCAAATTACAACAAAATCAATCTCGCTGATCCATAATTTGCAGTCTAAAACTCGCATTTCATCAAATCGTCAAATTACACATTCATAAAATAACATTCAATTCAGATCCAGCTAATTTTTCAAAATGTATAAGTATTACTCAATCCAAACTTCACAAAATCATCAAATCACCAAAAATTACAGCATGAAATCAAAATCAAAGCATGGATCCGAATATAATTTGAGAAAAAACTAACCGTGAAAACTTCCTTCATCACGATCGGCGCATTCGCCGCCGCCGCCGCCATTGTTACGAGATCGAAATGTCGAAAAAATTCAAAAGATTCTGCAAAAAAAAAAAAAAAAAAAAAAAAGGAAAAATGTTGATTTGAATGTGGAAAATTGAATTGAATTAGAGAGAGAAAGCGTTGAAAGTCAAGTAGAAGAGTTGATCGCAGGCCTTACTTGCCAAAAAGAGGAGAGAGAAAGCTTAACGAAGATCAACAATGGCGATTCAAATTCGACTTGGCAAATCTGAAGAGTTTTACGAAGGGAGAGAAGTGAAGAGGAGAAATGGAAAAAAAAAAATTGAGAGATCGTGTTAAAATGTGCTTCGTTAGTGCAAGTGCGCTATATTTCGTTAAAAAAATTCCTTTTTTTTCTTTTTTATTTAAAATATTTTTGCTTTCTCATTTTTATTTTATTACATTATTTATTTTCTTTTTTGGGCTGAGATCTAAGCACTGGAGATGAAGGTACTCATAGCCCAACGGGCCTATGTATAGACTTAATTCCATTTTTGCATATTTTTTTTCATTTTTTTTCAAAATAAAAAGTAATATTATGTTTGGTAGAGAAAAATAAAAGAAAAGGAAGAAAACAAAAACGGAGGGATACACCATCTTTTAATTAGATATCTAATGAAAATTAGATAATACACCCGGGTGCACCATGCTCATGGTGCACCCGGGTAAACAAAAAAAGGCGGAAAGAACATATAGTGTTTGATAAAGAACATACCTATGTTTGACAAAGAACATACCTTTAATATGTTTTTTGAGTGTGATCAGTGTGTTCTTTGAGTAAAATTATATGTTCTTTATATTATAACTTATGTTATTTAACATATGTTGATAAACATATATTTTTTTTTGGGTTTAATAATACAAAGTATGTTCTTTGAATTTGGCGTGTATGTTCTTTAAGGTCATAGTGACTCCCAAATTCTATTTTTTATTATCATATGTCATATTTAAATTACTTTTATTATCGTATATTCTTTGAGTTTGATTAGTGTGTTATTTAGGTATTAACTATATGTACTTTACAATATAAATTATGTTCTTTTAACATATCGTATTTTGAAATTTGATATTGAAATCTTAAATTATTTTTAATTGAAAATAATGTTAGAGTAAAAAAAACTAAATTATTATGGGAAGTTGAATTTTTTTTGGAGAGATAGAAAACTATTTTTTGGGGAAATGATATCTTTGGTAAGGATTTTTAAAGAGGTGATCAACATTGGCATGACTCGCATCCCGACCCGATCCGGCCCGAAATAGGGTGGGTTTGGGCAAACCTAAAAATACATTTTTAGTTAAAACTCGAACCGGGTTCGAAAAAAGCCCGAAAACCCGCTACTTTTCTACGGGTTTGGGCACAAGAAATTATGATATGGCCCGGCCCTACTCGATTTTTTATCACCTCTAAATTTTTCCCGTTAATAATGTGTAATTTTTCAGAAAATTTTATCAAGTTTTTATCTCGTTCTTTTTATTATATCTTTATGTTCTTTGGTAATGCATGTTTTTGTCAAATACAAACATGTTCTTTGTCAAATACATGTATGTTCTTTATGAAACACAGGATGTTCTTTCCGCCTTTTTTTTATTTATCCGGGTGTACGATGAGCACTGTACACCCGTGTGTATAAACCACGGATTAGATATCTAATGCAAGGAGAAATAGGGAGGGGATCGGAAGGATCCATTTTCCTTCCTATTTTAATAAACAAAATCCTTATGTTGTTTGAGAGATTTGGAAGCAAAATGATAATTCACCTTCTCCCTCCCTCGACCTCCACCTCCCTTTCCCTTCCCTCTTATCCAAAGTGGCCATTTCACATTGATAGAAAATTAATTGAGTAATAGGAGTAAAGACGGTGAACAAATTGGTTACTTAGATGGATAAGGTTACTCAATCAACGGAAAAATGAATTACTCAAATAGAAAATGAGGTTACGCTTATAAACAAGTGGAGTTATAGTTTGTTGTGGGTTCAAATTGCAAATTAGATTTATTTGTTGTGTGACAAGCTAACAGCCATGCCAACCCTTTAAAAAAAATTGGCATGACATGTTGATTGTAGCATACTAGCTAACATGTATAGTTGAGTTTTTTTTTTTTTTTTTTTTTTTTTTTTTTTGAATAGTAGTTGAGTTATTTAATGTCAAGAATGTAGTATATTGCAGGGTATTCTTCCACTTGCTTGATGTGTAATATTTCATATATGGAATATTATTCAATGTGGTGTCTTTGTGGTGTTCTATCTTTTTATGCAAAAAAAAAATCATAGGTTTTTATTATAAAATTAAATAAAATCTATGTATGCTATTAACAGTCATTTGTAGCTTAGACTAACCACGCCTGTGAAGCTCATAGCAAGTGGCTACCTGCCTACGTTAAGACTTAAGGTCAAGTAGCTCAACTGTTCAAGTGTGTCATTTGAAGGATAGCAATGCAGCCTAGATTGGGCTCCTACGAGACTGAAATTTATGTACAATCCCCAATACTTTGTGCTCATAACTTAATTGCCAAAGCTATGTTACATTTTGAAAATAATTATTTGTATATATATATATAAGGTTCACTCGAATGATAATGAAACTTAATTTTGATTTAAATTTGCTAGTTTATGACGAATAAGAGGGCGGCAAACGATTTGGAATAAGCTTTAGAAGTAATTACTTGTAGTTCTCAATTGGAGTTAAACATGTAATATACTACGGAGTAAAAGCATCCCTCACTCGATACATCATCTAACGAAGAACTCCAATGTGCATATTCTAGACGTTTCAGACTTTTAGTGCTCATTTTATAGGATTTTGCAAGTACTTAAGGCTTGAAAATTCATGAGCAAGAAATGTCAAATTTCATCCTTTTCATCACAAGATTCACAACCCCCAAACCCTACCTTAGTATTCATTAGCATAATAATGTAGCATTCCTCTTTCTTTAAAATAATAATGATAATAACTATCATTATTTTGCTTTGTAAGTTAAATATATCCCGTGCATTAACATGGATACATTCTAATAATATACGAAGTATAATAGAAAAGTATATGATTAAATTAATAGAATTAGGGTTTTAAAACTAAATTTCTATCTTACAAACAACTCGAATATACAAGGAAACAAAATGGAAGGAAATTTGCTACTATATATTTTCATGGCTAGCTATCTACCCCTGTGACCCTGCCTATGCACTATGCACTAAGCTAGCTTAGTGATAATTAACTGATACAAATCAAATTATATACCTTATATATACATCTAAAGCCAAAAAAAGGTTATAATCCTGTATAATCAGCTAGATTAAAGAGCAAATTTGTCTAGTTGAATCACCATTACAGTTGTATCATCGTTAGATCCCCTACTTGTTGACAACTCCACTAGCTTTCTACAAGCATGCTTTAACTCTGGCTTATTACTCCCTGCTGTAAAAAAGGGAAGAACCACGTCTACCGCTTCCTGATTGCTAACCTTGTTCCATAGGCCGTCTGAAGCCAAGATTAGGAACTCGAAATCGGGTTTAATGGTTAGGATTTTTGTTTCAGGTTCGGCTGTGACCCATTGCTTGAGATGTTGGTCTCCTATTGCTCTTGACACTGCAAGAGAACCTTGTATTCTCCATGTTCCGTTGCAAAAATCAACGTATCCACCCTGTGTAAAATAACATTACAACTTATAAGTCCGTGTCATATGAGTTACACATGTACAAATGCGTGTTTTGTGTTATTGTGTAAGCCATGGTCATATAATAATTTCTTGTCACATTTTTTTTATAATTAACAAAAATGTACTTCGTATAATCATATATAGGTTGTCATACCTTGGATTCGATCCTAGTTTTCTCGTCTTCTCTTGAAGGGCTTTGATCAGTAGTCAGTGCCTCCGCAAGGCCACCCCTGCTAATAACAGCACGACAATCACCAACATTAGAGACCATAAGGTTACCCTCTTGAATCAATGCAGTTACACAACAAGCACCACCGTTTGATTTTTCGTTAAGAAACTCCTGGTCAGCAGCTAGATAACCATCTCTGATACTCTCTTCAATCAGTTTGCTAGATTTGGCTCCAGTAACTCGTCCTACATGGTCTAATATTTTGTCACCTAGCCTTGCTGCTGCAAACTCGGCAGCTTTTGGACCGCCATGTCCATCAAATACTCCAAAGAATGCCTGCAATTGATCAAAAATAACGATCATGAGCAAAAGAATTTGTTGGCCACCGTAATTTTTATTTATTTTACACAACATATAATAATTCCATATATAAAATGTATACTTCTAAGTTCTAAGATTTGATTGTTTCATATTGCAACATTTAGCAACCAAGCATTATTTATTCTAACACTATCAACCAAGCATTATTTATCTAATACTATCAACCATTAGGTGAACTTTTGAAATATTATAGACCTATCATGTCCATAATTATTTTTTTTATAGAATGAAGGACAACCATAACATTTCCTAAATTATAACATATACTATGAATAATACTAGTATATTGGTGTGTATCATCCCATCAACAATGTTACTAATAACATCTTGAACGCAAAAATTACCTGTAAAGGGCAACCATGTACATCATTAACACGAGCCGAATAACGGTCCTCCAAATGAGCCCTTGATTTTCCTCTCTTACTACAAACTCCATACCCCTCCTCTTCAACTTCAATCTCCTCAACACGATCTCTAGGTGTACTCACAACATTATTTTCCATCAATGTAACAATCGGAACGTTAATCCTCGCCGGTCTTTTCCTCTTCATCAACGGCAATTCATTATGATGATGATGATTTCTTACTTGCCCTTCCAACTGTTGAAACCTTACCATCAAATTAGGTGATATGGGGTTAGCGTGATGGTTGTAAATATTACTCGTATTACCACTATGAGTAACAGTTGGTACTACAACAGCACAGTTCATTTTTCCTTTATTATATCCTGTGTATAGAATTTGCTTATATCTTGATCTGAATGATCTCCTTAATATTAGCTCTAGTCTAGCTATTTATGTGAATAAAAACTTTGGGTTAAGATTTATGAATAGCTCATACGAAGTTTCTATATATAGTGTTGAATGTCTTGATCAAGAAGTCTATTGGGAATAGGGATTGAGGGGTTATGATGAGTCAACCGTTCAACGGTCAAACATTGCTTTATATTTGGTGTGGTGCATAAGTTGAGGAGACTTGGTCTATTTCTTAATCCAACTTTCTCCGACTTTGTCCTTAATTTTAGCGGCTGATAGTGATTCGATCTGGAACTTTTGATTGGTTCGTCAAAAGGTTGCTTCAACCAACCAAAAAAACAATTTGTTTTTTCATAATCCCTCCATTTCATAATATAGTTTATATTGTATTTTTTTCACGGTATTTAAGAAATGGAAGGAGAAGTGGAAAAAAGTTAGACAAAATTACAAGGCAAATGGATAAATTTAAGGGGAAAAAAAAAGTGAAAAGTACAATTATAGACAAAAGTTAGAGAGAGTGTGAAAAAAAAAAGTACAATGCAAGTGGATAATCTAAAGGTAAATTAGGAAGTTCAATTAATAAAGTTAAAAAATAATGGTAAAATGGTCTTTACATACTATCCAAAAAATAAAAACAGGAACAACATTTTGGGTCTCCAAAATAGGAAAACAGAAACTATATTATGAGAGAGAACAAGATTACGATTATTACGGAGTAATATTTTTAAAAGATATGAGTGATAACTGTACGACTTAACATGCATGAAAATAGAAGGGAGAGGTATAAAAAAAATGAACACCCTCAATCACATTCGTTATGAAAGATTTGAACGCAAACGTTATGGATCTAAGATAACAATCTTACTAAGGCCCCGTTCACTTCACCTTATTTTGGTTGAACTGAAATTATTTTTACTGAACTGAAATTATTTTTGCTGAAATGAAATTATTTTTATTGAACTTAAATTAATTTTACTGAACTGAAATTAATTGGAAAAATTGGTCGTAATAGCACCAATTATTACAAAGGTGCGCGTAGCAGCACAACCTTTCGAGAGTGCGTTCTACATCACAAACTATGCACTTGGTTGCAAATAGCAGCATAAATGATACCAAAAAACTGAGATTTTGCCGGAAAACTGATAATTTAATATGTTATTTTTTTTTTATTCTCGTGAGATTGATTACTCTATCACTCCATTTTATTTTCTCCCTGTATATTTGTATCATTCTCAACCTCCACCATTACTGTGATTCCTCTTTAAAGTTTACAGAGGGCTTCTTTGATAATTGTGGGTTAAGGACGGCGAATGGTAATCTCTCATCGAATTTTAGGATACAAAAGTTACTTTGTGATACCAAGCCCCCAAAAAATACTACAAACATAATGTTGCTTAATTGCTTTTTTGTTTAATTACTCTTCAAATTTCTATTTTCACTCTTTAAGTTAAGTTCAAGGATTTGTTTTACCAGATCAAATTTCTATTTCACCTTCTAATACTTTCTTCTCAGATTCCAAATCATTCATCACTTCAATTGCACGTGTCAACTATTTTTTTATATCCATCCAATTAAAAAATTTGCAATTATCAACCTAAAAATAAAAATTTCCTTCTCAATTACCCACAATATATCAATACTCAATTACATTAATTCTGGGGCATAAGAATTGCATACCTTAACATGTCTTCTATTCCCAATGTAATTTTTCCTCAATGTTGACAAAGAGAGTGATAGGAATATATAGGAAGAAAATTAAATGGAGTGGTAGAGGAGTTTAATAAATCATTCACGCGAGGATAAAAAAAAATCTAAGAAATATTAAAAATTCCAGTTTTTCGGCAAAATTTAGTTTTCCGGCGAAATCTCAGTTTTTCGGTATCATTTATGTTGTTATGTGCACCCAAGTGCATAGTTTGTGATGCAAAACACACCCTCAAAAGGTTGTACTGCTATACGCACCTTTGTAATAATTGGTGCTGTTGCGGCCAATTTTTCCAAATTAATTTTGTTGAACTGAAATTATTTTTACTGATTTTTTATTATATTTCTTCTTTAAATTTACTGAATTTTATTGAACTGAACTTATTTTTACTGAAATGCAATTATTTTTAATGAATTGAACTTATTTTTACTGAAATGAAATTATTTTTATTGAACTGAAATTTTTACTTAATATTAATTTTTTTAAGGTAAAAATAAATGGGGCCTAAGTGAATCAATTCTTACTTTGTTATCGAAAAAAATTTGTTAATATCAAGTCCTATAAATTTCATGGCATACGTCTAGAAAACAAGAACCTTAAACGACAAGTAGAAACCACTGCTTGCTATTTTCACATACACCGGCCATATAATTGTCTAGTCTTTTTAGTCAACTTAAATTCTTACGTAAGAGATGTCATTAGTTGTTAAATTAATAATTGTGAGTAGAATTATTGTCTTCCTGTTTGTCACGGAAATTTAATAATGGTTGCCGGTTCTTACTTGTGATGAATGTTTCTTTTCAAAATAAGTTAACCCATTCTTATTTTTACGTAGTCACTGCACATTAAGTTGAAAGAGTGGATTTCTTAGTATTATTACACAAGTTGTTTGGGTTCTTTTTAATTAAGTACTCCGTAGCATTTTGAATTGGAAAACTTATTCTTATTCTTTTGTTAAATTTTAAAAAGGGTATATAACTATATGAATATTATTTTGAATTGGGAAAATTATTTAGGTATAAAATCACAAGCTTTGTATAGTGTTAAACGAGCCCGAACCTCATCCGTCACGAGTGTTTATTTTAAAAGTCCAAGAAAGTTTTACCTCAGAATCATATGATAATGAGGAGAGTATCAGATTAGTCCCTTAGCCTTATAAGATGGGCACACTTTTTCACCTTTTTCAATGTGAGATACATATCCAAATACTCTCTCTTGCTTTTACATTCACTTAATGTGAGATAATACTTTTACAGTTCCACTTAGGGGTGAGCAAAAATTTCGAGTACCCGAAATTGGAACCAGAATAGGTTAGGAACCGACGGGTCCAAAACCGGAATTAGATTCGGTGGTTTCCAATTCCGGGTAATAAATAAAGGACCCAGCTACAACCGGTTCCAATTCCAAATTATCAGCTTTTTGGAACTGGAACCGGTTGGATATCCGGTTACCCAATATATGCTAAACTAAATAAATTTTTAAATAATAAAAATATGTTGAATGTATCAAGTTATTAGTAAAATAAAAAAACATTATTAACACCTAACATAAATAAAAAATAGCTTAATGCATATATATAAATATAAGTATTAAACGCTAAAAATAAAAATAACTAAAAATAAGTATTATAATTTGTATTATATTTTAACAATTACATACATAAGTGGATACCCGGAACCGGAAACAATACCCAGTGGTTCCGGTTTTCAATTCCAATTCTTAAATTTTAGGAGCCGGTTAAACCAATTCCAATTCCGGTTCCAAATTTTAGGACCCGATTTCAATCAATTCCGAGTCCGATTCCTAAAATTTTGATCGGATATCCAGTTTACTCACCCCTAGATCTACTTATATAGTCACATCACTCATTTGTGAGTTTGTTCATAAACCCAACATATAAATAGTATATTACGCGCATAAGCCACTAATGCTAGTCATCACCTGAAGCTACCACGCAAATGACACGAGTCGCGTATTATTGTTTTCAATCCATGCGTAAAATGCTTGTCATCGCGCACCGTACCAGCTGTCATTCTCTCACTCCAGTTTAACTTGATTCACATTTATTCGACCGCTCACACGCTAATATAAACACAGCAATAACCAACTTAAACGTCATCATCTACTCAACCTAATATCTACGTATACTACGCAACCAACATAGCACATTTTGTTATTAAGTGAAGATTGTCAACGGAACAAGAGAGGAAGGCGCTTGAAGATAGGCTACTAGGGTGTGGAGAGACTGTGGTAGCTGCTGGTGACACTAGGGATCGTCAAGATAGCCTTGCTGAAGGCGGCCGTAGTCGGGAGGCCAAGGCAATACTCGTAAGGAGCATATAGATACCAGTCCGGTGACGAGAGGGATAAGAAGAATGAAGGATTCCCCATTGATGAGATAACGTTCCGTAGATTGCCTTAAAAATGTAGTATTAGAGTACTATACGTTTGTATCACTATTAAATACGGAAGTAGAGTATGTATGAAGCTAAGCCTAGTAATATTGTGTAATTAGCTAGCAAACGTTTTATTTACATTTGATTTTTAATATTATGGAGTACTCAATAAATATTCAGATCGGTTTGTGCTTTGAATAATTGAGCTTTAAATTTTTTTGTGTTGTGCTAGGATTTTCAAACTGGACCGACCTAATTTCATTAGACCAATTTTTAGAAAACCAATCAAAATAAAGGAAATTTTGTATTTTATCACCCTAAAATCACTATATTTATAATATAAACCAACCGTTTTTCTTTTATTTTTCGTTTAGTATCGCTGTGGTTTTATTTTATTTTATTTTTCTTTTTAAAATTATATGATATAAATTTATATAATGAATAAAATTTGTCAAATTTATTAAAAATCATGATAATTTTGAAAATTGACAATAAAAAGGGGGAAATGCCTTTTTTTTTTATTTTCTGTTTTTGATTTTTTGTTTTTAAATAAAACAGAAAATTTGAAAACAAAAAACGATGTCAAACAACCCACCGCCTATAAACAATTTCTATTTCGTCCAATCTTGCTCTATTAATGTTTTGGGTCATTTTGGCTTTTTAGAGGCTGATTTAAAGTCAAAATTGACAAAAAGAATAAAAAATGTATATTCCCTATTATTATTATTATTATTATTATTATTATTATTATAAACAGATAAAGTCATACAATCTACCATAAATTAGTGGGAAGCCGAGATACTATTCGGGCCCCCACTCCTCTAGCTATTACAAAGCCTACCTCAGTGAAGATATGAGCTGTAGCACGAGCTCCAATGTCTTGCATCGCCGAGAACCTCTACTATATATTATTATTATTATTATTATTATTATTTATTATTATTATTAAAACTCCAAGGCACA